TTAAACGTAAATAAGACAAAATCTAAACGCTTTATGTACGTATAACAATCCTACAATAGACGTCTATAATACGTTTGAATATAGACGTTTTATAGACTTTTGTTCTAATCGTTAATCTGGATTTCATTCTAAACGGATAATAGACCAAATCTGAACGTTTTGTCGTTTAAAAAACGTTTGTGTGTTTTCTTGGGATCAACACCAGCAACACTTAGATAAATAAAAATAAAAAGCTTTATTATATAAGAATATTTTTATTTTTACAAAGATCGTCATAAACGTCAGTAAAATTATCCAGATGATTTTCTGGCTATGTATCAATATTTTTGTTCTGTGACTTACGAGATCTACTTTTTAATCTATTTTTTGCCCTAGCGTTTAGTTAATTTTGTTAGTAATTCCAGCGCCTTTTTAAAGTCTGAAACAAAGTAACGCAATTCTTCTTGGTTTCATTCCATTTAAGCCGCAGCTAATTTTATTTTGCCACTAAAAATCAATTATTGTAAGAATTCTCAAAACTATTTTCTTAGTCTCGAATAATTACGAAGGAGTGTTACTTATAATCTCGAGGGAGATTATAAGTAACACTTCTTTGTAAAAATAAGATTATTTACAAAAAACTTACAAAGGTTACAAAAGCAGTTGTATTACTTATAGTCATGGAAGTATAAAACAGATGGAAGTTCATCGAGCCGCAAACATCAAAGCAATTTCAAGTCGTCTCGGGAGTATGCTTGTAACTGACAATTAAAAAAAAAACAAGTTTCACTGGATAAAAAAACAACAAAATTCACTGAAATGATCTTAATTAAAATATTAAAAAATGAATTATTCTAGGGATATGCTGCAAATTTTTAACCATTAGTAATTGCAGAAAGTTTATTAAAAATCGGTAATTAAATAGAACCACTTGATTTTAAAAGCATATGTTAGTTTAAGCTTCTTTTCTTGCTTCAAGTCATGAGACGACATTTGATTAAAAAGACAACTAAAACAATTTTTAAAAAATCAAAAAAATTGTTTTCTAAATAACTAAAGTTTAAAGTTTTATTAGCTGTATATGATAACTCCATTAATTCTTGCAGTACTCCATTCATTTAATATAAAGTTTATGAAAAAGTTATTGTTTGCCGTTTTGTTGCGCCATTTTTAATGTTTTTCTTGAATCTTATTGGCGAACCTTTATTTTTAAATTATTATAAACGTACCTAGTTGCGTCATATAATGATTAGGCATTTAAGTACAGTCTTGATGTCGTTTTCTTATTGTTTACGAAACAAAAAGTTACGAGCATAATCCCGAAGAATTTCAATGCAGTTGAACTTCTATCTGTTTTATACTTCCATGGTATAGTCAACAAAAAAAGACAATTTTTCTTTTCCGTTTATTTATTATTACTTAAGTTTTACGCAATTTTTTTTTGAGAGCCAATACTGAATTAACGTTATGGAATTGCTTGTGATAGCTTGTGGAGTTCCAAAAAGATTACTCATTCATGAAGTACTTTTTATTATGAATTAACGTTATGGAATTGCTTTCGAGTAATCCTTTTGGAACTCCACAAGCTATCAAAAGCAATTCCATAACGTTACATCAGTATGGGTTCCCAAACAAAGAGAAAAGGAGAAAGCAAACAAAGAGAAAGCGGATTAAAAATTTTAATACGCTTTCTCCGTCCTATTCCAGAGCTCGGCAAATTCATCACACTTTTTGATTTTCTTGGTATTTGGTCGAAAGAAGATACCAGCCCTAACCTTAAATAGAAATAAATAAATAAAAATAGCCTTTTTTTGTTGGCCGTACGTCTCGCAGTGGTTAGAATACTGGCTCAGATCAAAGTGGTCCAAGGTTCAACTCCGGCTGTAGCCCCAAATTGTGACATTGGTAACAAAGAAGGCATCAACTTTATAGTTAAATGCTCTTCCACACACACACACGCACACAAACACACACACACATACACACGCACAAACCCAGGAGAGTTTTAGAAAACCAATACGATTTTAAAGCTCTGAAATGAATTGTCTAAAAAAAGAAAAATGTAAAAACTACTGGCTACATCTTTGGAGAAGTAAATTTATTCTTTCTGATTAAAGAAGTTGCACACTCTGATCTGTGACTTTAACGTTTTTACCCAATAAATTGATATCCGACAGGGAAGCTGTTTGAACTTGGATACCAAACGCTGAGCGTTTGTCTTGAAACCTAGATTGCTAATTAGATTGTTGACGTTTTTTAGCATAGGCAAGTATGGCCTACTCTCCTCAACCATACCTGAAAAGTTGTAACTTGTACCTCCAATATCGGACTTGTTGTATTCTCCAGAAGAAGTCTAATCTTTCTTAATGGTAGTGGAAGCAGATATCTCAGGGATGTATGGTAATGTGCAATGGAAAAAAGAAGTCTCAATAAAAAGTTTTAGACGCATTTGTTCCCGAGCAACGTTTTGTGAGATTGACAATGCAGAAGTAGCAGTTGTTTGAGTGGCCTATTGGCTATCGCCAAATTCGAAGGATAATAAACTATATGGCTTTTGTACCAACCTGTAACATATCATATATAATTAAATAAAAAAACTTGAAGACAGGAAATTTTACACATCACTTTATCACTATTTATCACATAATTTGTTAATATTACACACGGTGTAATATTAACAAATAACATATTTTTCTGTACTACACAAAAAATTATCTTTGTTAATTACAACTTCCTAAAAAAAATTTATATATCTAAATTATTAAAACCTCATAAAATTAACGACAAAAGAGCGAGAGAGCAATAGTTCAACTATTTTTCAATATTCTTTAACAATTCTCTTGCAATATTTGTTTATTTAATGCAGTGCCTAAAAATGCCAGTGTATTTCCAGAAGCGATTCTACGAAGGAGGGAGATAATGGGGGATGGGGTCTTCTTTGGAGGTGTTGTTGTCCTTTCCTCCCTCCCCCCCCCCCCGCCTTCATAAAAAAAGTAGTTTTCTCGGTTTCTTGAAAATATAGTTGGCTAACCGGATAATCGACACATTTCAGTCGAGTAATTTTTAGTTTTTATATATAGAAAGCAGTCGGTACTTTTTAAGGATTCGCTCTTAAAAAGTACCTCTCTGAGTATGTCTTGTAGGTCTCACCATTTTACCACTTGCTTCCACAGAATACTTTTCAATCTTTTCTTTACAAAATGTTCACACACAAAAAGAAATGCATCTGCTAAATGCAAATTATTTCTTGATGCCATTCAAATAAAATAATTGCTCTCAAACATAATTCGTTGTTCTATTATACACCAATAAAAAATAAAATAATTGCTCTCAAACACAATTCGTTGTTCTATTATTTACCAATAAAAAATAAAATAATTGCTCTCAAACACAATTGTACTATATTTGTGTTTGAGATTAATTAAATTAATCTCAAACACAAATATAGTACAATTGGTATATTTTTCCCGAGCCGGGAAAAATATACCAATTGTACTATACCAACGTTGTTAAAGTTGGTATAAAGTTGGTTAAAGTTGGTATAGTACGTTATCTTGTGAATGCCACAAGAACTCTGCAAAACTCTTGTGGCATTCACAATATTCACGTTCTTGTGTTTAAATGCTATTTGCAGAAAAAGAGAGAGAGAGAGAGAGGAAAGAAGTTGCAACCAAATTTTTATTTGATTTCAAGTTCAAAAAAAGATTATTACTAACATATGCTTGTTCTGAATTAGTCCAAAGATTTACCAAGTCTTGTGAATCATGTCATCCAATTTTGTAAGATTTCGAGTGACTATTTTTGTTAAGCTCGGAATTGATGATGGTAAATATTTTCTCTTGTTTTTTCATTAGCATTGTCATTACTGTCCTAAGAAATGAAACCAGTTGACCACACAAAAACAGTTGGTTACGCAAAAAAATGAAAAAAATAGTAAAATTTAGATTAGAAAATACTATGCAAGCTGCACCCCATTCAATTAAACCCCTACAACAGAAGCTAGTTTAAGGAAAATGAGTGTAAAAAGCTTCTTAACAGTGGAAGTTCTGCAGCAATTTGCTAAAAAAAACTTGGTTCCAAATATTTTTTTCAATATAATATTTAAAGTACAATAGAAAAATATTGAGTAGTATAACCGGTCTGAATAGAAGCCTCCTTATAAAAACTCCTGGATAGTAAGACCAGTCTGAATAGCTGTTTAACCGGTCTGAACCAAAAGAACTGATAACAGAATAAAAGTTATTAGAGATTAGGTGAAAAAAAATTGTTTAGAATGAATATTTAATCATTTAAACATTAAGAAACTAAAAAAGTATTACAGTTAGGAAATAGTATTTTAAAATAGTTGTGCTGAATGAGCATATAGACCTATTTGTGTGAAAATCAGAAAATACATTTTGATGTTAGATTTTAAATAATTATTTTTTTATGTTGAAAATAAAAGTATTTCAGCAGGTTTCAAAAGTCAATAAAAACTTGTTAACAACAACTTTAATATTTTTTCTCCAACCGGAAGTACTTTGAAAAAATTTTCGACCATTTTTATGCACTTTTTATACATTTGAAACTAGGTATCTTAGGAAATGCTGAGATTTTCACGCTATAGGAAAGTCAAGTAAAACCATGCATTAAACAGCAAGTCAATATTTTACACTATAGAATGAAAACGGCAAATGTAATAAAAGTTATTGGTATTATCTAGTAGAACTCTCATATAGCCCTCATTTTAAAAATAGTGGCCAGATATTACAGTAATCAGAGACGTTTTGAGACAAAAGTAGCAAAAAAAATAATTGAAAGTAAATATGTGATTGTAAGTAAATTAATCGGTGCGAGAGTTTTATGCGGCCAAATACTACGTTTTTTTTATCGAGTTAAAAATTTAGTCAAAATTTAAGTTAAAAAAGTAGCGTTTTGATTGGCGCACAAGTAGGAATTTCTCAGTCGGAATTTCTTAAAATTACTTAATAGCAGCAATATGTTTAAACATATTACAGTACTGTAATATGTAAACATATTAATATCTAATATGTAATACTGTAATATGTATTATTAATAATATTAATATGTAATATGTAATACTGTAATATGCTTCTCCTCAGGCGGCCGCCTGGACTAATATATTCAAAACAAAAATGTATGTAATTTGGCGTCATTCGTAAAAGTACATTCGCGTATTAAACTTTTATGACTGGTAAAGTCAGTTATATTCTTTTTACTGACTTCGTTTCCTTGTTATTTATATAATATTTATATATTTTAAAACATCTAACTTTTTCAATTTATCGTGATTGTTTTTATAATCTTGTTTAATGAAATTTGGGTTACAAATTAAACATTTTAAAAGCTTTACAAATTTTTAAACATTTAGAATGTCAGGCTTTTATTATTTTGTTATTGTTGGAAGTAGAGATAATCCAGTTTATGAAATGGAATTTAGCAGTCAAACTAAGATGAATTTAGATTCTCAAGGAAAAGGAAAAGACGACCACCGCCATCTGAATCAGTTCATTGTTCATGGTGCTTTAGATTTAGTGGATGAGCTAATGTGGACCAGTAATAACATGTATCTAAAGGTGGTTGATAAATTTAACGAGTGGTTTGTATCAGCGTTTATTACAGCATCTGGAGCAAAATTTATGATGCTACATGACCTTCGAAATGATGAAGGAATAAAAAACTTTTTTCAAGATAGTTATGAGACTTACGCAAAACTTCTAATGAATCCTTTTTATGAGTATGATTCAAAAATTGTATCACCAGTTTTTGAAAGAAAGTTGCAAAACTTTGGAAAAAAGTATTTGTCTGTCTAATATTGTAAAATTCTTTTATTTATTTTTTTATTTTTGTTTTCAAATTTTGTAAATTTAAAAAATCAAAAAATACTATTAAATCAATCATTTTTATTTATACATTTATGTATTTATAATATATACATTTATGTATGTATAATATATATATATATATATATATATATATATATATATATATATATATATATATATATATATATATATATATATATATATATATATATATATATATATATATATATATATATATATATATATATATATATATATATATATATATATATATATGTATATATATGTATATATATATATTGTATATATATATATATATATATATATATATATATATATATATATATATATATATATATATATATATTATATATATATATATATATATATATATACATATATATTTATATGTATATATTTAAAAAATCAAAAATTGTTATCAAGTCAATTATTTTTATTATTGGGTGTTTTTTTTTTTTTTTTGCACTGGATTAACACCCCAAACCACACGAGAGTTTAAAAACAATCTTAGTAGAGCAAAATATGCATAAGTTACATTCGTAATATATAAATGCGATAAAAATTTACACATACAAAAAAAAAAAAATTAAATAATTTAAATTTTTATAACAATTTTAATTGTGCACCCACAAGTAAAAATATGTATTTTAGTCAGAATTTTATCGTATTTGTGTATTTCATTCACGCGTGCGCACCCCTATCAACTATTAATGTTTTTGATTTTTTTGAAAAAAGAATTAATTTTCATAAATATGTGTTTTTATTTAAGCAAAGCAGTACGCTTTTTTATAAGATTAATAAGTTATTCTTTTAAACTGCTTGCCCTAATCTGCACCTGCATGTACACTCCACTGCGCCTGTACCTATTTTAGTCAGTCGATGTATGGACACTCTACTGAGCCTGTCCCTATTTTATTCAGTCAATGTATTCATACTCTATTTAGCCTGTCCCTATTTTAGTCAGTTGAAGCATGAATCACAGTCCCTGTTGCTATTTTTAATTTAAATATTTTTTATTGTATATATGTATCACAAATATAACTTACGTATGTTTCAGTTTACCAAAATTATTTTTTATACTCTGGTATGGTCTGTTGTTGATCCAGTGTGGTCCGGTGTGATCCAGTGTGGTCTGGTGTAGTATTCTTATACACCGTTTATTATATATATATATATATATATATATATATATATATATATATATATATATATATATATATATATATATACACATATATATGTATATATGTATATATATATATATATATATATATATATATATATATGTATATATATATATATATATATATATATACACATATATGTATATATGTATATGTATATATATATATATATATATATATATATATATATATATATATATATATATATATATATATATATATATATATATATATAGAGAGAGAGAGAGAGAGAGAGAGAGAGAGAGAGTTTGTATTGTTAATTTTTTAACAAAAAATGTAAATAAACTTAATAATATCATCAGTTTTGTTATTTGGTAAATACTACTTCAAAAAATGTTTTATTTTCTAAATTTTACATTATATCAATTCATTTATTCATAGATAAAATGCCAGCTTGTAATAATCACTTCAACTTAGCTTTTATAAAAAGTACCAGTTTGCTATTTCGATGTAGACCATTTAGTAACACTATATGTTCATATAAGCATATCTCAAAAGTTTTTTTCTCAAAAAATGTAGAGCTCAAAGTTAATCATCAAGTCAAATTTTTTTCTGGAATAAGTACACAATATTCGAATACAAATCTGCAATACTTAGGGGATCATAAACTGTCATCAAGTCAAATTAGTGATAGTGATTTTCGTTTGGTTTATGAAGGACCATTATCCAAAAAAATTAAACTGATTAAGTTGTTTTCAATGTCAACATCAGTATTGTCTTTAATTTGTGCACCTGTGTTAGTATTGAGTAATAAATCAGAAGCTACTGTGTTTTTGAAAGTATTTCTTGCTTCTACTGTAGTTACTATTGGTTTGTCAACAACTTTTTTATTACATTGGCTTACTCGCGTATATGTCCACAAAATGTTTTTTCATCCAGAATCAGCAACTTTTGCTGTTGAAACCTTCAATTTTTTTGGAATGACAACTAGAAGAAGGTTTTCTGTATCTGAGTTTCGAATACCTGAAGTTGAGAGTGCTTTTTCTACTTTTGAGGCAAATAATAAAAAATATTTTCTCCACACTGATCTAAATGAAGTTGACCAAATATTGAAGTATGTAAAGGAACATAATACAGAACAAATGCAGAAAAAATAAATTTTTTAAATGCAGCTTATACTTACTTACTGCTACTTGTATTGTACTTAGTGCAAAAAAAGCTTTTAACAGTTTTATACTTTGATATTATTTTTATTTAGTATTGTTTTAAGGTATTTATTTGTTTATTAATAATAATAAACATAATATATACATACATATATATGCATATATATATATATATATATATATATATATATATATATATATATATATATATATATATATATATATATATATATATATATATATATATATATATATATATATATATATATATATTAATATAAATATTTTCCCACACTGATCTAAACAAAGTTGACCAAATATTAAAGTATGTAAAGGAACATAATACAGAACAAATGCAGAAAAAATATTTTTTTTCAATGCAGCTTATATATACTTACTTACTGCTACTTAAATTGTACTTACTGCAAAAAAAGCTTGAAACAATTTTATACTTTAATATTATTTTTATTTTATATTGTTTCAAGGTATTTATTTGTTTATTAATAATAATATACATAATATATATGTACACATATATGCATTTATATATATATATATATATATATATATATATATATATATATATATATATATATATTTATATATATATATATATATGGATGTAAAAATACAGCATTAGAGGTATACTGATGATGTCATACTAAAATAGGTAGCTGCTATGATTTCAGTATATATATATATATATATATATATATATATATATATATATATATATATATATATATATATATATATATATATACATATATATATATATATATATATATATATATATATATATATATATATATATATATATATATATATATATATATATATATATATGTATATATATATATATTTGACACAAAGTGGTTACTGTATAACATTGAAAAGATTTGGTTGGCTAAATATATATATATATATATACACATATATATGTGTATATATATATATATACATTTTATATATATATATATATACACATATATATATATATATATATATAAAATAAATATATATAAAACATTTAGTTTTATCGTTTTTTAAAAAACTGCAATAATAATGACTACAAAGCTTTTTTTAATTAGTAGTGCTTTTTTTTTTTAAAAACAATTTTTTAAAACATTTTAAAAACATTTTTTAAAAACATTTTAAAAACATTTTTTTAAAACAAGCTATAAAGCGAGTTTCTTCAGGTTTATATTTTTATTTAAATATTATATTTCTATGAGCTGTATATATTATATTTCTATTAGCTGTTTATACTGTAGCGCTCGAAATAGTGGCCGATCGAATGAACATCTTTAAATAAAATTCTTCAAAAAAAATTAAAAATTATCTTATTAATTAAATTAATAAATTAAATAATTTATTTATATTCTAAATAAAGTTATTGAAATAAATGCGGCAAAACTATTGTTGATTTATATTTTAAACAAAATAATTAAAGTAAAAGCAGCAATGTTTTATTTATACTCAAGAAAAAACATTTGAAAAGAAATACAGAAAAATGAATGTTCATTCAAGTTTTAAATAAACAAATTTATTTTAAAGCAACTTGATTATGTAAGGTTTAAAAAAAAAATGCATTTTAAATTTTAGTAAAATTTAATAAAAAATTGATCATCAAAAAAATGAATTGATTGTCTGGTTTTTAATTTTTAATTTTAGCTGATCAATGTTGATGGAAACTATTGAATAACTATTATAGGTGATCAATGTTGATGAAAACTATTGAATAACTATTTTTAGCGCTGATACTGAATATATTATATTTCTATGAAATATAATATATACAGTATTATATGAAATATAATATATACATGACTGTATATATTATATGAAATATGATATATACAGTCTTTTCTGTTAGCTGATAAAAGCGCTTGCTGGATGAATTTTTTTAGGGTGGCATGTGTGATTTTAAAAATTAGCTTTATTTATTATTTTATTAAAATAAAATCAGCTAAAAGAATACTTACAATAAATTCTAAATTAAATATTTAAAAGAAAAATAGTCAAACAAATGTTTTATTTAAATTCTAGATATAATTAAAATAAATGTTTTATTTAAATTCTAAAATAATTAAAATAAAACAGCAAAAAAATAACTAATTTTTTAAATATTAAACAAAGCAGTTAATAAAATATAAAACAAAAATCAGAAAGACAAATGTTTTATTTTAATTCTATATAAAATAGTTAAATTAAAAAATTAAAACAAACAATTTTTTTAAGTTTTGATTTATATTAGTTAAAATAAAAACGAAAATAAAAAAAAACATTAATTATGTCAATAATCCATTATGTCAACAATTTTTTCACCTCCCACCTCCCCCTCACCAATAACTTGTCAAACTTTCAGAGACCCTCCTTGCAAAATTGTTAAAAATTTGATTACTTCCCTCCTCTTTAAATATAATTAAAGTGGAAAAAAACATTCTTTTTTAAGTAATTAAGTTCATTAAAAAAAGTAACATTATTGGCATCATTTTTTTTTGACCTTCCTCCTCCCCGTCAACAATAGTCAAAAATATATACTATATTTATAAAAATGTCATTTTCATTGTTAAGCTACTTAATAGACAATTAATTAAAAAAGTATTTTTTTTTTACTGTAAAAACCTCTTTGTTTAGTATGCAAAAGTATATTTGTTATTTTTGATAAGGTTATTATGATTCAACATAAAGTTTTACTTAAAAAAATATTTACAGTTGTGGGTGAAAAGTATTACAATTATAAAATAATGGGTGTATGATTTTTTTTTGTATTACAATTGCTACTATATATTTTTTTACTAGGCTCATAATTAAAAAATAGAATGTCACTAAAGACATTGCCAATTCTTTTTCTAAATCTTGGTGGAGAAATGGTTTATATTCTTGATCAGCGCTTGCGTGCACAGAATGTTTCAGAGGAAAAGTCTAATAAAGGTGAATGATTATTTTGGAGAGATACCACAATTATTATTTTCATTTTTGTTTATACTATATATCAGGCCTTGTTAAATTGATCCCTAAGTGCCTAGACAAGTTGTGTTCATATGATAGAAAATATTTAAAAAAACGTTTAGGCTAAATTTTTTTGAATAAAACTAAGTAATAAATGCATACCAGGCCTTGTTTTAAAGCGTTTCGCCTAGAGCGATTTACGTACGCCTTAAGCGCTTTTTACGTACGCGTAGAGCAGTTTTGGTTAAGCTACTTTTTATCATTTTTTAACTTTTAAATTAGCGGTAACATAAAAGAAGTAATTAATTTTGAAAAAAACCACATTAACTTTTAAATAACGATATGTAAAGGTATTTATTAAAAAAAAGAATTTACTTTAAAAATAATTGTTATATCTTTGTTATATCGATATATCTTTCCTTTTTATAGCAATTAATTTGACACTAAACTTTTTATCCAAATATTTAGCAACATGAAAAATTGTTTGTCAATCCCTAACTACAAATTTTTTGCAATGTTTTTAATAAAAAGTAGTAATTTTTTAAAGTTTTTAGTAAAAAACTTTTAAAAAATCTATATTCCATATTTATTAATACAGAATATAAAAGTTTTTTGTAATATAGATTTTTTATGAATTTTTTACTGAATTTATAATAAAAAACATTTGCAAAAAAATTTGTAATTAAGAATTGACATTTTTTTAAATAAAATCTCAAAAAATGTCTTAATATTTTTGTTATCATGATAACAAAAATATCAAGGCATTTTTTCGAGATGTTAAAAAAAATGTCTTTGCTTTTCTTATTAGTTTAATAGTATATAGCTTATAGTTAGTTTAATAGTATATAGCTTTTCTCATTAATTTATTAGTATATAGTTTAAGTTATGCGGGGGGAGGGGGTCGGCACAGAAAAAAAAAATTACCTGTTACTCGCAATATTTGAATGAAGACAATTTGTTAAAATTCTTCTGCGTGCGATTCAATAAGTTTTTTTTTCATAAATCAAGTTATAATATAAGGTAAAGAAATCATGAGTAGACTACAACATCCGCTGATAACACTAATATTACGTTGAATATTTATATAATGGAGGTTTTATTATGCACGCGCACATTACAGGTTCCGTTAAATAAATACTAAGGCACGTTTTAGTTTAATGACAGTCTCCATTTTTTACTAATGAATATGTATTTTTCTTTATAAAACAAAACAAACTAGTATATAAAAACCTTGTATATTTCTATTATCTCTAAATTGTTTAAAGTTCGAATATGGATTGTATTTTGAAGGACAAAAGATTTACTTTAAAAACTTTTAAATCTTGGGATTTTGCCGATGCTTTGCCGATGCGATGATCACAGAAAAAGAGAAGACTTACGTTATTAAAATCAAATGTAAGTTATGTGATCTTCATCAAATTAAAATATTATCCAAAAACAATAGTGCGGTAAGGGCAACTGCCCAACGGTTTATAAATAATACAAGTCATGTTAAAATATTTTAACATGTTACTATATTTTAATTAAGTTGATATATAATTAAAAATAAAAATATAGTTCAATAAATAAATTAAATTTATTCTTAACAAAGATTACCTCGTATTTATTCTTTTTTTTATTTTATTAAGTTAAATTGCTTACAAACAAAAAAAAAAAAAGAGTTTTGTAATTATACGTAGAATGAAAATACTTTTGAGTTTGTTTATAAGTTAAGGAACTTAATTTTTAATAAACAAATTTTTACGAATGTTTATTATAAACAGATACAATTCAAATTATTAAATATACTTAAATTATTTCAGTTGAGTATTTTTTTAAGCTTGCACAATTAAAGTTTGGCGTAGAAGTATTTGTTTTTTTGTTTTAAGAATAATTAACAAAAGAGTTTGCATAATTAAGACTTTTATATTTAATTTAATTTTTTTTTTTAATTTCCTAAAATTAAAAAAAAAAAAGATTTAATTGTTGAAAACGATTTTTTTCTATAGCTCTGTTTCTTTGTGATTTGTTTAAAAAGTTAAATATTTTTACAATAACATAAAAAATTTATGAATTAAATTCCTAGCAAACGCATTCTAAACTACGTATCAAAAATATGCTCAAAGCAGACAAAACTTTTTTATATTTTTATAAAACGCAAGTTGAAACGCTTTTAAAAATTTAAAAAATATTTAAAAACTTAAATTTTTCTTTGCTAGTCAAAACAAAATCGTTGTTTAAATAATTAACATGGGTTTGTGTTTATCAATGTTAATATTTTTTGTTTACTCTAGAAATTTTTGAAAATAAAAAAAATCATTATTATTTTTTATTCAATAACGATTAAAAACAATTATTCAAAAACAAATTTCAAAAATAATTAATATATATATATATATATATATATATATATATATATATATATATATATATATATATATATATATATATATATTTTACTAAATAATATTGAACTAAAATTAATAATAAAATAACAATTGAAAACATTACAAAATTTTCATAATAAATTTATATTTAAAATGTTTATAGTTTATATTAGAGTTAATTGTTAAATTGAACTAGTTTGCGGTTATTTATTTATTGCGGTAGTTAAAACACTTAACGTCTATAAAAAAAATAAAGATAATTTTATGACGTCAAAATCGCGTTAAGCTAATGCATTAAGCACTTTTTTATTTAAAACAAGGCCTGCATACCAATAAAATTAAAATAGTCGTTTTAGTCAAAGCTTGCTGTCTCATTTTTTTTTGGTTCTCTGAGTCTGTATAATGTTAGCCGCCATCTATAGACTTGATAATTTATTATATGTTTTTTTTTTTGTTTCTGTATATAATCAAGCCTTGTTTTAAAGCGTTACGCCTAGAGCAATTTATGTACGCCTTAAGCGATTTTTATGTACGCATAGAGCTGTTTTGGTTAAGCTACTTTTTATCATTTTTTAACTTTTAAATTAGCGGTAACATAAAAGAAGTAATTAATTTTTAAAAAAACCACAAACTTTTGAATAATGATATGTAAAAATATTTGTTACAAAAGTTTGGTTAAAAATAATTGTTGTAACTTTTTATCACGATGATATTCTTTTCTTTTTATTACGATTATGTTCAACGTAATTTTACGCTAACCTTTTTATCTAAATATTTAACAAAATGAAAAAAGTTCGCCATTCCTTAACTAAAACTTTTTTCTAGATGATTTTAATAAAAAATACAGTACAAAATTCTATATAAATCTATGTTACAAAAAACATTTATATTTTGTAATCTCTGACAACAAAAATATGAAGACATTTTTTAGAGATATTAAAAAAATCTGTTAGTATATGAATAACTTATTTTTAATTTACATAAAATTAATTCTTCATTAATTATTACTCTTTGCTTTTTTAAGTTAAAAGTATACCTTTAACTTTAAGATATACAGGGGAAGGGGGCTGGTACATAAGAAAAAAAAGTTACCTATTACTCAAAATTTTTGAAAGAAGACAATTTATATAACTGCGTGCGATTCAATAAACTTTTTTTTTTCATTAATCAAGTTATATTATAAAGTTAAAGACATCACGAGTAGACTATAACATCCGCTGATGACACAAATATTACGTTAAATATATTTATACAACGGATGTTTCATTATGCATGCGCACGTTGCCGACTCCCTTAATTTAAAACTAAGGCAGGTGTTAGTTTAATGACAGTTTTTATTCTTTACTAATGACTATGTATTTTTCTATATAAAATAAGACAAACTAGAGTGTCAAAATCTAGTATATTTCTTTTCTCTCCAAATTGTTTGAAGTTCAATAATGGATTGCATTTTGAAGAACAAAAAAATTACTTTGAAAACTTTTAAGTCTTGGGACTTTGCTGATGTTTTTCAAATTGAAACTCTCACAGAAAAAGGGAAGATTTATGTTATTAAAATCATATGTACTTTGTGTAAGCTTCATCAAAATAAAATCTTATCCAAAAGCAATAAGCCGTGAGGGCAGCTGCTCTACGGTTTATAAATGGTACGAATTATGTTAAAAAAGATAGTATTTGTAGACATTTGTCAGGAGCCACTCGCCAACATGCAATTAGAAAATGAAGGCTTCAATAAAAATGATGGAGTAGCCAACAGTGTAAGGGTTTATAAATTAGTTTAATTTTTTTGTTTCATTGTCAATCGAATCCTATTTCAATTAAAAGCAAAAAAAAAAATATATTTTTGGTTTATTAAATTAAATATTTATCTAAGTAAAGTTTTTAGACTTGGAATAATTTTTAACTCTTGTAAACTGTGACGTTAGAATATTAGGGTTTTATTTCACTTTTGTAATGTTGACAGAATTTAAAAAAATTGTTAAATATTTTAAAATCAGATAAATAATCAAAATAACAAATTTGTTGAATTGATTGCTTTGATTTTTTAATTGATTGCTTAAAACACACATTTTTTATTATTTATTGAGTAATATAAATTGGTTTAAGACAAAATAGGATATCATTAGATGAGAACTATATGGTTCTATCTCCCAATGTTCAAAGTGAAAAAGTTTAATTTTTTGTATTTATTTATAATAGTTTAGCGTTTAAAATTATATAATTTTACTATATTAATCCTATTGTTATTTATATAATATTTAAACTGTATGTTTTTCTTTTTTCATTGTTAGTTTCAACCTTGTTTAATAAAGTTGTAATTTTCAACTAATTTGTAAACAAGCAAGTTTAAAAATAATAAAATTAATAATGTAAAATTAATTATAAAACATAAATGCAATTAAAAAATATATATATTTGATCAATATAAACAACGAATAATTAAATAACTAAATATCGAAAGTTAAATTCTCTCAAGGGATCGTCCATAAATTACGCAACGCTAAAGTTATTTGAAAAACAGTTGTAGGAGTTCTTAAGTACTTTTACTCTGCGATTTTTACTAAACTTATTAGGCTATTTTCATTTTTTTTTTATAAATTTACGCTCTGAAAGTGA